TTTAAGATGCAAAAGGCAACATTAGAATCAACTTGTTTCTCTTCATTAGCTATCTGTCAAAGTGTTACGTTCACTGTCAGTGAACCTCAGCAACAGTTTCTGTCTCTGACACCCCGTTCCCAGGTTAGAGACGATGGAAACTTATCCTTCTTAACTCCCTCTCCTGGTGGAGTTAAACAGAGTTCCCCCCCCCTTTTCTCCTGCTTCCAAGGGGGGTTTCAGTGGTTCTAAATGAAGGAAATTTAGTCCTTTTTTGACAGCTTCCCGGCTTTAGCTTGCAAAATTTTTGCTTTAGTCTATATACAAGGAAACGGAAGGCGGACTTCCTGTTTACACCTTCCCGCTTCGTTACCAAATTAAAACAATTTCTTGATCCAATTTTCCGTTTCTACTCACGGGTACTTGTTTTAAGTCCAATTGTCCACAGGAAAAAGTCAGCGCTCTCTGGCAATGGCTGTGCGGTTTCACTCCGTGAAAGTAGCAGTCAGTTTGTAGCACCGCGCTTCTCACCCCACTTCGCTCCGGAGCCCCTAGATGGGATTCCCCGCGAGTAGGGGGGCGCTTCTGGTGCCCTGCCAAACCCCACGTTCCCAGGCTTCCTCCGCCTGGGATTTCTAGCGGGTCCCCACCTTCGCCGCGGCGGGAAGACCCAGTTTTCACGGAGCCCGTTCCTCCGGTCGGAGGAACTCCGCCATTCACCAATGGCGCTGACCCGGAAGTCCGTTATTATTTGTGTTCTAACATCAGGGGTGCTTATTGCTTTCCCTTATGACCCACTATTTCCAGACAGGCTGCAGAGATACATTATTATTTGTGTTCTAACCTATCTCTGCAGCCTGTCTGGAAATAGTGGGTCATAAGGGAAAGCAATAAGCACCCCTGATGTACTTCTTTCAGTCTGGGTTGACATAACTAAAGCATGGAGCAAGGATAACTAGCATGTAGCCCTCCCAACTTCCATGGCCAACAGTCAAGGAGAATGGAAGATGTCATCCAATAACATCTAGAGGGCCACAAGTCAGCCATTCCTGACATAGAGACTGGTACCGTCGTGAAGTGTGTTATCGCAGAATATTATAAATGTGGATCATCTCTCTATAAAATTATTATCCCTTATATGTGCTTTCTGGACTTGGATGCAACAGGTTAACTTACCATCTATATTTGGCCTTTGTCCTCACTAAGAGCCACGGGGAATGTGGATGTCGAAGGCACTGTTGCAACCCAAAGGGTTCCTGACACCTAGGTTTATCATCATCGCATATTGCCTTTGTCTACAGCCCAGGCGATGGCTCTTCTTTCTGAGGACGCTCAAAGAGCTTTGGCTGCCTGGCTGCTGAGGCTTTTTGCCGTTTCCCCGATGAAGAGGTAAGTGGCTAAAGTGCCAACATTAATTACAATGGCGAAGCTGGAAAGGCCCCATCTGGGCTCTGAAGTCTTAATTGCTGATTTCAGTGGAACTGCAAAACACTCGAAGGCAAAGCAGCTGCCCGACGCGGCAGGAAGGATGCCCAATTAATGTAGAAGGCTACCTCCAGCGGCCTGTGTGTCAGAGTGATAGAAGGCCACACATTGCAACAGCAGCTCACTCAGCAACTGGGGGGCACTGCAAAGTGTGAATGTCAGGCGTAGAAATCCCAGCGCATATATGCATATACAACAGTTATGTCCGGAAGTGCAGCAATAGCACGTTGTATGAGCAGCTTCATCCTACACACTTAAAAACAGAGAAATCTTGTAAGGAAGCACAGGAATATTTCAGTCTTGCACAAGCTTGGCAAGTTTTAAACCCATCACTTTTGAGGGTAAACCAAACATAATTATAAACGCTTCAGGTTACAAATGCTTCAGGTTACAGACTCTGCTAACCTGGAAGTAGTACCTTGGGTTAAGAACTTTACTTCAGGATGAGAACAGAAATTGCATGGTGGCGGCGTGGCGGCCACATTAGCTAAAGTGGTACCTCAGGTTAAGAACAGTTTCAGGTTAAGAACGAACCTCCAGAATGAATTAAGTTCTTAACCAGAGATACCCAGCCACTCTGGGCAGCTCACAACAGAATATTAAAAACACGATAAAACATCAAACATTAAACATCACGATAAAACATCAAACATTAAAAACTTCCCTAAGCAGGGCTGCCTTCAGATGCCTTCTAAAAGTCAGATAGTTGTTTATTTCCTTGACATCTGATGGGAGGGCGTTCCACAGGGTAGGTGCCACTACTGAGAAGGCCCTCTGCCTGGTTCCCTGTAACCTCACTTCTCACAGTGAGGGAACCTCCAGAAGGCCCTCGGAGCTGGACCTCAGTGTCCAGGCTGAATGATGGAGGTGGAGATGCTCCTTCAGGTATAGTACACACAAAAATGTATTCCACTATCAGTCTTAAGCCGCTGAGGGATTTATATTTAAGGTCATGTTTTGAAACCCATATGCGACAAGACCTGCTTGCTGTTGTTCACCACCTTGAATGGCTCACTGGACCAATTTCAAGAAGGGCCAGAAGTGTGGGAAGTTTTCCTGACCTTGTGGCCTGTGTGATCTGATACCTATAAGCTTTATCAGGGGTAGGCAACCTAGGGCCCGTGGGCCGGATGTGGCCCAATCGCCTTCTCAATCTGGCCCGCAGATGGTCCGGGAATCAGCGTGTTTTTACATGAGTAGAATGTGTCCTTTTATTTAAAATGCATCTCTGTGTTATTTGTGGGGCACAGGAATTCGTTCTTCTTATTTTTTCAAAATATAGTCCGGCCCACCACATGGTCTGAGGGACCACGGACCGGCCCATGGGCGAAAAAGATTGCTGACCCCTGAGCTTGATCATTAGGAAGATCCTTTACGACACTGTCACTCAGTGAAGTAAGAGGCTCTCCAGCTGAGAGTCTGGTGAATGAAGGATCAGTTTTTAGTTCTGTAGGAGTGTCTAGCATCTTGTCAATGTTACCTGTCCACTTGTGTCTTCCCATTGAGTGCTGTGATCAAGTGTTACAGGGGCAATTCACTGATGTGGAGGGCACAAACCAACCAGACCAGCTTGCGACCAAGCTTGACCTCTACCCCAAGGCATGGCACCACCCTCCCAGCCAGTGTTAACATTTGTAGATTCGCTTCCAGTGACTTGCAGGATATTTTCAATGTCCTTCTTCTTCATGAAATCTACAGGATTATTCAGCTGGTTTTTCTCTCTTTGAGCCTTTCTCTGGAGTGAAGTGGTAGAGATATATTCCACCTGGCTCCCTGCACACATAATAATGCTGTTCTGTGATGATGCTGGGGAACTGCTGATTCGAACTGTCTGCTTTCAGCATAGCTTTAGTTGTATCTTCATGGCCGTCAAAGAAGATGCAGTCAATCTCACCCTTCTGACAAAGATAATCAAATTCCTGATCCAGGGATTTCATAACTTTCTTGGGCCGTCTTGACTTTATTATGATCAACTACAAGTCTCTTTCCTGCCAACCTAGCAGTTCGAAAGCATGTCAAAGTGCAAGTAGATAAATAGGTACCGCTCCGGTGGGAAGGTAAACAGCGTTTCCGTGCACTGCTCTGGTTCTCCAGAAACAGCTTAGTCATGCTTCCACATGACCCGGAAGCTGTACGCCGGCTCCCTTGGCCAGTAAAGTGAGATGAGTGCCACAACCCCAGAGTCGACCACGACTGGACCTAATGGTCAAGGGTCCCTTTACCTTTACTTTACAAGTCTCTTGTGTTCTTCAGTGATCCAGCCATCATCCATAAAGGCAGCAGCGGTCATGGCAGTGATGGCATGCAGGCCAACCATTATGTATTTCTAATGTGTTGTACTTCTAATGTCTTTTTATTAGAAGTGGAAAGAGTGCTTGGTTTTCCTAATGTCAATTCATAACTTCCATTGTTTCCATCTTGGGCACCAGCTATTGGTTCTTCATTTTCATCAGCAGAGAAAATTATTTCGTTTGATGGCGTTAAAGCATCCTGCTTACTTCTCTGCTTATATTCAGCAAGTCTTCTCTCGTCTTCTTGCCACTTTGGCTTTTTAACTTGTCTGTAATGCTCAGGCACATCTGGCAAGCCAGTCTGATGTGGTCCTTCTCTCTCTGACATTTAATCAAAGCAAGCTCTTTCACAGGGATCTTCACCTCCTTTGGATATGTACAGTTAACATGAGCTTCCTTTTTGCAGCAAGCAGTATGTATAATATAAAATATAAAATAATATCAACATGCAATATAACTGCAAAAACTTGGAAATCATTTATTTTTATTACACTAACAAAAATATCACCGACATAGTGAGCAAGCTTTTGAGTTTTGCAGAGCTCTTCATCAGGCGGGATGTTAAGTGAGGAAAAGTCAATTGGCTTGGTGTTATAAGATAGTAAGATTGCATTGGTCTCAATCCTAAAATGGAGTGCAGGAAGAAGGCATAGATTCATCCATGAGTTAGACTCTTCTTGGTTCTGTGCAGATTTCAGACTGCATCTAAGGATGCTGAGACGAAGAAAAACACTATGGCCAGTTCCCCATTTTTGAAAAAATAAAATCCAGCATTTCTCTAGATTTGTCTTTAGCCTTAAGCTAAACGCACAGGTTTTTTGTGGTGGACAGCCTCAAGTAAAGATCACAATGGCAAAGTCAGAGATTGAACTGTAGGCAGTGCGTACTAGGTAACAAAAAAAAGGCAATAGATTGCAAGGAGAACACAAGCAGCATCTAGTGGTCAGACAGGCTTGGCACAAATGACTATTTCACAGGCACACACAGAATTTCCATTAAGTGAGCACCATAAGGATCTAACCTTGTGAAACTATCAGAGGGTTTGCCAGCTCTGTAGGAGGAAGGGGTGATTGTATTGACGGGTTTGTTTTAAAAGTCTGAATGGTTTTGTAAGGCCTTATCTAGTATAGAAACCCAACAAATGATTGATTATAACAACTACTCCCATTTATTTGTTTAAAATTATATAATTTTGTTGTTATTTTTATTTATAACTGACTTTTGGGTCTAGAGCAGGCATCAGCCCTCCAGATGTTTTGGGACTACAACTCCCATCATCCCTAGCTAACAGGACCAGTGGTCAGGGATGATGGGAATTGTAGTCCCAAAACATCTGGAGGGACGAGTTTGGGGGTGGCCTGGTCTAGAGGATTCCTTGTCCAGTGACGTACAGTAGTTTTATTTGATTTTTTAATATTCATTACCTTTATATCCCATCTTTCCTTCAAGGAGCTCAAGGTGGCATACATAGTTCTCCTCTGCCCTCCCCATTTTATCCTCACAACAACCCTGTGAGGTTGGTTAGGCCAAGATTGAGTGACTGGCCCAACGTCACCCAGTGAGCTTCATGGTGGAGTGGGGATTTGAACTCTCAGGTCCTCATCCAACACTCTAACCACTACACCACACTAGTTTAATATAAAACTTTCATGGTGGAACAGCTAAGAGAAATGTGGGAGACAAGGGGGAGAATTGCATGAGGCTGGAAATTCCATAACCCGGTGCACTAGCAGAAGACAGCACAAGGAATCCCTCTGGCACAATAGAGATTCTTCCTCTCTTCACCCCCCATGCCTTCCCCCAGATCCACTCTGGAGGGTCAGGAGAACCCCCAGAACAGCTCAGGGGGAAGACAAGGGAGATGGTTCCGTCCAGCAAGCAGAAATGCTTATGATAATGGAACAATTGTATTAGCATTTCATTGTAGTCCACTCACAATGTCAAAACCTCTTCTCATCTGTCTGGTGTTCATTCCTCAGCCACTGCTCTCCTCCTGGGACCCAGGTAAAATTCAGTATAAGAACAATTCCACAATAGGAAAGGAAAAAGAAGGGAAAACGAAATGACATACAGACTCACACATCTACTTAGTTATTTGTTTTGTGGGGTTTTAGCATTAGGGGGCTTTCAGTTTAGAAAAAAGGCAACGGGGGAACCATCAATGAATGGACAATTCCACACAGACAAAAGAAAAAGCTTCCTCACACAGTGTATCATTAAAGTACGACATTCACTTCCTGAGGATGTAATGATGGCCACCACCTTGGTTTTCAAACAGTTTTAAAAGAGCATTAGACAAATTCATGGAGGCTACCAATAAATACTAGCCATGACTGCTAAATTCTACCTCTGTTGTTGCTGGAAATCACAAGTGGGGAGAGTCCTGTTGTGCTCATGTCCTCCTTGCAGCCTTCCCATAGACATCTGTTTGGCCACTGTAAGGAAAGGATTCTGGACTAGATGGGCCATTGGCTTGATGCAGCAGTGCTCTTCGTATGTTCTTACTCACTTGCAAAGTGAAAACACAAGGCTATGTACAAAAAATTGTAGCATAATATATTATAAGAAGTTGTTAACATCAATGTATTGAAGCCAAGTTATATGCAAGATATTACTTATTGGAGATTACTAATGAAGCTTAAAAAACTTTTGAAACCATGATCCAGAAAGTGTTTGATATTTCTCATGAAACTTGGGAGAAAAAATATCAATGTTCAAAACAAGAATTGACTTTCTAGCTAAGGCTGTCTTGGCTCCAGGTGGACCTCAGACCCTGAGGGACCATGCATGGACCATGGGGCTACAGGCATTGGCTTTATGATGGACTCATCAGCTGACTGTACCATTTATGATGGAATCTGGTTTTCCCAAGGAGTGCTATTATGTGCTCTGGCATTCCTGCGCTGGTAACCTGTGTAAACAGTGGCAAGGATGCTTCCCAAAATAAGTGGCGCTCAAGCAGCAAGTACTTGGACTCCTACAGTGGGTTATTAAGGGCAATGTGGCCCAAGGAAAGGATTCTGCAAGAACCAGATGACAGATGCTGTAGCTTACTAAATTATCCACACTCTTCCTGTTCCAGTGAACTAATTAGATCTTCAATTGGGAGACAGTTTGTCTTCATTTAAGAGGCTCTTATTCCTTCATTTAGAAGCAGATATCAAAGACATGGAGGGGGGCCCATTCAGCGTTTGGAGGATACATGAGCTGCCAAATTTTCTTAGATTACTGCCTGGATGAGTTTTCAGGGCCACAGTGTTCTCATCCTGACACTTGTGTGCCACATGCTAGCAACAAGATGGCAGAAGTCTAAATTAGGACTCATTGAAGCAGCATTAGACAGGATTAATTAGGAGTCATGATTGGTTGGAGAGCACTAATCTGAGATGTACATGTGCTCACAATATATAACTTGGAAATCTGTAACTTCCTTTGCTAAGGGGACAATTTGACTTTAGTTCATTCAACCCAGAGATAAAAGACAAGAGTTCCCCTTTCTTTCCCCCAATAACAATTCTACTTTTTCTCCTGAATCTGGGGCTGCAGTTCCTCACAAGAAGGTTGTACACGTGCAGCACAATCCTTCATCATTAGCTTTCCAGGACTCTCCCACAGCTGGATAATGCCAAATGCCTCTTTTTAATGGCTTTTTGCACATTCAGGAATGCTGCCCAGTGACTTTATGGAGGAGGGCGGTGGGATTGTGTATGCTATCGCTGCCCCCAGCCACCGCACATTCATTGTTGCATTGTGAACAGAATGGCCATGTGCCCTGTTTTAAAGACAGCAGTCCTCTATTTGAAGGGTTGATGGGTTCAAGGCTAGTTTAACAACAAAGAGCGCAAAGAAGTTGGCAGCTGCACAGTAGACTGACTAGGCACACATAATCAGATCACCATCTTCCCCACTTTGGTGAGATATAGCATATTTCTACTTAAATCATAGCAATTGTTTGTAAATTTGCAACTATGCTCCATTATTTGCAAATTGATGCCTTATTTTTATTTTATTTTATTGCTGATGTGTAGGTGACCTTCCTTATTGTGGGCAGACCCCAAGTGCTACTGTGCCAGCTTCTGGTTTGGTGGAAAAGCTTGAACAAGATGCATTCAGGTACTCTCCACTCTCTGAGTGGTCCCATCTTCTATCTGCCACTATCGCCACTTGATTTTCCTCTCCTTCTGGGTCCCATCTGCATGGCAGCCTAGAGGAACAGAGGAGTGGAAGCACCTACTTGCAATGTTTGCTCATTGAGAGAGAGACAGTAACAGGGAGAAGAAGCAGGGCCAACAGGTTCTAAGGGTTAGTAGTAGTGGCTCTTTTCTGAGGCATGGGCCCTAGCAGTTGCCCAATAAGCTTGGCCAATGTGCAAGCAAGCTGTGCCTGAGCATACAAAAAACATTTGGAGGCTAGGGACAGAGTAGGGGCACAGTAGGTGCAACTCCACTCCCCTTCCATGTATGCAGTGGGAAACACCTGAAAGTCCGGGTGTTTGGAGGGTGCGCAAGAACTTTGCAAAATGTGGCAGTCCTGGCTGAAAATGGGGCACCTGGAGGACAGGGAGACATCATTAGCCCAGAGCTGCTCACAACCTAACTAGGTAAGATGAATTTGGGACAGCTCTATGACATGTTAAAGTGGCCTTACATTAGGCATTATAATTTACAGTGCCCTTCTGGGTCACTTTGGCTTAATTTCTAACTTACATAGTTCCCATAAGGGATCATAGCCAAGCACTTTGATTTAAGAGACTGGGCAATAAAACTGTCCGGAGAGGCTTATACATTTTATACTGCCTCATAAAAATGATACATAATTATGCCAAAGTATAAGAGGAAAAAGCAAATGAAAATTAAAGCCAACCATAAATAACAAAGGTGTTTGCTGCTCCTTGATATATGTGGCATCGCAACATGCTTGAGTAGCACAAGTGAAGAGAAAGCTGCATTGACATGGGGAAAATATATTCCAAAGTAAAGAGCTATGACTTTTAATGAGTGCTGGAAAGTTAAAAGAAATCAGGGGGTGGAAGCGGGGAGAAGAAATGACAAGGCAATACAAAGCTGGGAATGTTTACCCCGATTTACCCATATGAATTGTAAGGACCTCCGGCAGGGTCCTGGCCCCTTGCACTGACGCGCCATGTACATTGCTAGCACTAGAAAATCAATAAATGATCATATAATACAAAGCTGGCAATATTTCCCCACAAAGTTAGCTTGGATCATTAAATATTCATCTTCTCCAAATTATTTCCAGCTTCTTTTGAAGCAAGAGATCATTACACAAAGCAAGGAGAATAAAAACAGGATAGGACAAAGTGATAGCAAAAAATATCCAGTTCTGTCAGCAGCAGCAGCTCCCTTCAAGCAAAGCACAAATCAGATTTAACTTCTCCTTGCTTCTATTTAAAGTCCACCAAACCACAGTTTCTGTTCTCTAGCCCAAACAAAAATTCAAAGCACAACTCTGTAGCCTTGTTCAGACAGAACAATAAGCAATAGTTTAGCTTTCTGGGAACAGGTTTCCTTGGGTCTTGGGTTCATCTCTCCTTTTTCTCTAGTGTGGTCAAACGGAAAGAGATGGAAAACATCCACTTCCTGTTTTAAGCTAACTACAGTTTGTCTTTATAGCCAAACCGAGAACTGTGGTTAGTTGCAACATTGTGATTTCTTGAAACAAGGACTGGAAACCACAGGATGATAATGGCTTATTTAAACCATGGTCACCAACTTGATGATGGCAGGTATAGGTGCCTGCAGGTTTCCTTCCATCTACTGAAGATAGCTTTGAAGAGCCTTCTGTTGACTAAATTAGAAGGTTAATTCTTGCCTCCACACTCTCCAGGAAGATCACCCTCCCCCCTCAATATCAGGTTTGAAAAAAAGTTAAGGCACTTCTTTCAAGCCTAGTTTCTAATGAGGGAGAGTGTGCGTGACCATGCCAGTGTGTTGTTGCAGCCTATGCATGGTGCTCTTTATAGTTTCTCTTGTTTGAAAATGCAGTCAAAGGTCCAAAATATTTGATGATTCCTGATTTAAACTAACCAGTGTGGCCTGGCTCAGACATAACAGCAAACTGTGGTTAGCTTGAACTAGGAAGCAGATGGTTCCAATCTCCTCCTTGTAGCTATACCAGAAGAGGGTAGGGGGGAAACAGAGCAGATGAGTTGACAGCTCAAGGGAACTTATTCCATTAATGCAAGTGGCCCATATCGCTGCCTTAAATGCAGATCTTCCTTCTCCAGGCCCACCTTAGCAGTCCAGAGTTAAAGTAATACACAATCTTTACTATGCAAAAACTACACAATTACCTCTCTCTCTCCCACTCTTCAAACAT